TTTCCAGTGTATTGACCACTGTCTGTCCAACAAGTCATCGCACTTCTTACGGATTAAGCGGGTTTTGTATAGATGGAAAGTTTTATGCCCTCACTATGTGTGTGCATCGATTCGCCTACCTTATCGTTATTTCATCTTTCGTAAATCTCAACTGCGAGGCAATCCTTCAGTCAGTGTGAAAGAGTAGAGGCAGGGCGCGAGGCGATAAATGGCCTCTGCTCCGTTTGCCAGTGGATTCTAGCACGGTCTTGGTCCGACGAACACTGAATTTCAACCCCTGAAAGACGTTATTCTCAGAGCAGTTCTGAAGGTCAGGTACGGTGAAGAACTGTTATGTGGAATATGTTATTTCTAGCGGATAAGTTCGCCTACCGCCAAAACCAAGTTGGCGTCATGACGCTAATAATTTTTTGTCATGTATAAGTTCGATGCTGTCTTCCGATATAATGGAATTCGTCCATTTCGTCGAATGCCAAATGTTTACTGTCCCCAAATTCATTCCCACATAAGCGACGGAAACTCTCTGCATATTCCATAATATTGTATTTTTTCACCCTTGGAATCTTTGCATAGGCACGTTTAGGGGTACTCTTTCAGTCTACTTCACCTGGATATGCTCTCCATAAATCTGGCACCTAATAAATATTTCTTGGTTTTGCGTTTCTGCATATACCTGTTTGTTTGGTCAGACAACATTCTTTTCGCAAAACGTTAATAAGTTTTGAGGAAATGGATAGCAAGTGGAACTAGTTCTACATTCTAGATCGTATAATTTGCACCCCTTAGGTAATCCTATCCGTAAATGGAAGAACAGTGCTGGTTTTGAATGAAAAAACGCAGTAATGAAGATGTTACTTCACAACTGATTTGCTGTGGTTACTCATAGCCGTGCCTTCGTAATCTCGCGGTCCTATTCATCGTGTTGGTACAGTGTCTAAAAGGTCTTCTTTAAACTCTGAAGGTGCCGGGTTCGATTCCGCTCGATGGCAATGTCTTATTCACAAATTTTCTTCAGCGAGGAAGTTATGATACACTGGTTGAGACCGGGGTTGCTCAGTCTGTGCAGCGTCGAACACAGAACCGATATTTCCTGAGTTCAAGCCCCGGTGGGGATCACTTACCCTTCTTCCTTCTGAGATTAATGAATAAGTACCACTCTGTGGAAAGCGAACAGAAGAATATACTCTGTGCTTGCCACATGGCTGTAGACTGTCCTTAAAAATAAATCGCTCTTGGCTGATGGCATAGAAACAGAGATCAGTACAGCACCATCAACTTCCTGAAAACGAGGGCGCCAAAACGGCCCAATGATGAAAGTGAATGAAGACCGACATTTCAGAAGCGCCCAAATTCCGTTTTTCTTAGTCCTGTGCAGCGGGCATAACATGTCTGAAACTATAACGGAAAGGTACTATAACTCCATAATGTATACGCTATAGTATTGTTGTTGAAGTAAGCTTACCATGAAAGAGAAAGAGAAACCTCACCGGAAATGATCATTTTCTAATTTCATTCATTTGAAAGGTCAGCCGGATGCTGATCATTCCTACGCTATCACGTCTTTGGCATTTTTAAATATATGACGGCCTTCGCATTGTTTTTTCCGTTCTTTTCTGCCATACATAGTTGATCTGACAGCACCTACATAATTTGACAATGATGTTTAAAACATTTTTTGGACAAGAGATACGATAAATCCTCATTAGATATAAAGATATCATTAAGGCCTCTCATCCGCTCAGAAAATTTGCAGGTTTTCTTCTTAAAATTGCGGCTTTGATAATAGCAAATAGAAAGGAATATGCAGCGATTCCGACTGTTCAAATGTACAACAGAAGGTTGGTCTCCGTTCTTACTTTCCTCCTTTCCCTTGTCACAGCATTAATTTAAAGTGCTACAAGAAAACATGGAGGTGAAAGGTAGTAGAAACGCACGCTCAATTTATAAATAAGCCTTTTTGTCTCATCCGTCTAGTGCTGCAGATGAACATGGTAAGGTTATCTGCAACCGTAGTGATGAGGCTATCAACTGTCTTAAAATTTGACGCATTTTTTTTTCTCCTGCAATCTGTAATTTTCTCACACTAAAATGCGTGCATATCACTAATATTTCGGATGCTTAAAATATAAGGCATATTCTCTTTTTCTTTCTCGTCCATTGTTAATGCCACACCAGTGTAACGCATATAAGGTTCAGGAAACGACTGAAGCGCGTTCGACTAAATTTTCCCTGTTCCTGTTACGTTGCTGCTGAAGGTCTACTTTGTTTGAAGTAGCAAGGTTTCCTGAGCTGTTGACTATCCGCATTGGCATGAATCTTATATGTCATCTGATACGTACTTTTTATCGTAATGAATCCTAAAATATGGTATGTTTTTTTTGTACGATGGTAAACATTATGGAAGTTCAGCTTCGGTAACCTAGTGTATTTTACCCTTAAACAGGGATTAGAGCCTTGACACAAAGTTAATATCAGTTCTTTGTGGCCCTGTGGTATTCCCCTACACCACCAATGGAATATACAACAGGAGTGCTTGAGTAAGATGGTAAAGAACCACGCTCGACTTTTTAATCTCCATCGTTTCTCATTAATATGCTGATGAAGATGTGTAGGCAGAAGAGAAGGAAGGCTCGTGTGGCAAGGCTGTCGTGATCACTCAGTCAGTAGTAGTATGACTAATTTAGTTTTACTTTGAAATTGCTATTTTCATTGCCCTGGATTTTGAGATGCATTTTCTGGAGTATGATCATGTAGAGTGAAAAACATGACGAAAGGTCCGCTTAAAATTCGCCAATTGTTTCCACACGTAAAAGGTGGTGTAATGTTTACTAAAAGTTGGTTGTCGTTTCTTTTTGCGTTTGTCTAGATCATTATTCAGCACCAGTGTAAAATATGGCAAGATGGTACAAATGTTGCCAACCCAATGCGTTCGATGCTGTGAAACGGAATAATTCAATAGATACCTCAACTTTGCAGCTGGAGGATGGGCGATCGTCCTTGTGGATCAGCGGTCAACCGCGAATCGCTTCCCAAAATGACTGCAGCGATGAACTTTGGCTTTCTGAAAAGATTCACCAGCAGCAGATAGCGGCTTTTTTAGCTACAGGAACGTCTTATATTCCCAATCCAGTCGAACTTTGCAGTCGCGTAAACGAAACAATGTCACGGAATTTGGAGGTCATGGAATGGGACGTTTTCAGGTAATACGCCTCCACCAAAAGTTGAGGGACGCGAGACCAAGACTGAACTACATAGCGGTTAAAACCGAAGGCAAGTATTTTGAAGTTACTCGATGCGTCTATAATTCGACCGCAGCAGTAACAGGATTAAGAATGCATGAACGAAAGAAACCGTTACCAACAAATACGAATGCATAATCTAGAGTCATTTCGCTCAAAACTGCTGCTCTAATACTCGATCCCAGAAAACATCATGTCCTCATAAAGGAAGCTAGATTGGAGGTCTGTTCTGTACTACGTTTAATT